TTGCACCAGGTTAAAGAAACTGCTTGCCTCCAAACAGCATCTAGCAGCATCATTGACAACCAAATTCAAAGAATGTGCACTGCAAGGAATGAAAAAGGCCCTAGGACTGATTTCCAGGATTCTCCTTTGAACACCATTGTCTTTGCCCTTCATATTACTACCATTATCATAGCCTTGGCCACAGACATTATCAATAGATAATGACAGCGTTTCAAGTTCTTGTAGAATAATTTCAGTCATAAATGCTCCAGTCGTCTCCTTCAGTGGTACGAAACCTAAAAAATGTTCCTTTATGAGCACTTCAACATTATCTTCATCTGCAGACTTTTCCATATCTACAAAATGAATAATCATTGTCATTTGTTCAACATTACTCACATCTGCTGTACAGTCCAGTATTATTTAAAAGTATTTAGCAGAATGGACAGCTTCTAAAATTTTCTTTCTAATGGCATTTGCTAGGATTTGAATAAGTTAATTCTGCATATTTTTTCCTAAGTAATGAATCTGTGTTTCATGATCAGTTATTTTACATAGATGCTCCTTCATGACTGGATCAAACAAAGCTAGGTATTCAACAATTTTTTAAAAGTTTCCATTACCTGGAGTGTATAATTTTTCCTTTCTACCGTGGCCGCGGAATGCTATATTTTGCTCACCGAAAACTCTCACGAAAGCAATCAGATGCTCTAATATTTGTCGCCAATATTCTTCTTTTCCCTTGATCACACGTAAATTTTCTTTATCAACAGTTTTTCCTTTTTTCAATAGTAATTCAAGTTCTTTCCAAAGGCAAAGAAAGCATTGAGTACTTCAGCTTTCCCCACATCATCTGTCACTAGGTTACCTCCCTCATCCAGTAGGGGCCGCACACCCTCTCTGATCACCTTCTTCTTGTTAACATGCCTGTAGAAACCTTTCTTGTTATCCTTCACATCCTTAGCCAGTCGCAATTCCATTTGCGCTTTCGCCTTCCTGATAGCCCCCCGGCATTCTCGAGCTATACATTTAAGCCCCTCCCTGGTCATTTGTCCAAGTTTCCACTCTTTGTAAGCTTCCTTTTTGTGCTTAAGTTCACCAAGGATTTCCCCTGTAAGCCAGTCCGGTTTCCTACCATGTTTGCCTCTCTTGCTACGCGTCGGGATGGTTTCTTTCTGTCCCTTCAATAAGGCTTCTTTAAAATACTGCCAGCTGTCCTGGACTCCTTTCCCCCTCATGTTAACATCCCAGGGCATTCTGCCCATCAGATCTCTGAGGGAGTCAAAATCTGCTTTTTTGAAGTCCAAGGTGTGTACTTTACTACTCTGCCAATTAGAGTCAATACTAGAGCCTATAAAGCAGGAGTCTCAAACTCAATTGACCTAAGGGCTAGTGGTAGTCCTCAGATCCTCCTAGCGGACCAGCAGGCCCACCTCTCTAGCAGGGCTCGGGGGGCAGCAGTCACTCCCCCCAACCCATGTGTGCTGCAGCCCTGCCTGCCACCCCCATGTATTTAACTGCCACCACCAGCAGCATAGTGGGACAAGAATGGCTTCCAGCTGCTGGCTCTTCACCATTGCTGCACGTCCCCGTCACCAGAGGTGTCTGTAGGGTGGTTCGGTGCATCTGTTCCCTACTGTCTTATGGAGGGGATGGTCCACCATATTCAGGTTAACCCATGGGGTACTGGGTGGGATTGGGCTAACAGCAGGGGTTGTGCCTCTCTCCCTCCCCCCCCCTCGCACTCACCACAGTAGTGGGAGTCCAGGGTAAGTGGAGCTACACAGCAGCCTGCTCCACTTCGCAAGCCACATCTCCCAAGCCAGCCCATGCGGGGGCACTCTGCTTCCTGCTGCTGGGGTGAGTGCGGGGGGGCCTGACCAGTGCTGCCATCCTGCACCAGGCCCCTCACTAATCCCAAGGTTATGTCTTTTGGTACAGGGAGTTTGAGGGAAGGAGTGCGATTGCGGAGAGGGTGAGGCAGAGGCTGGACTTGGGAGGAAGGTGTGCGTGCGCGCACACCCCTTGTCCCAGGGCTGCAGGGATTCATATGTCAGCAGCCATGCATAGGCTGGATTATGGAACTGCTTGGGCCACAGGTAGCCTGCAGGCTGTGAGCTTGAGGCCCCTTCTATTGTGGTTTGGGGCAGATGCCACTTTTTCCCACCTCAGAAATGGCAGAAAGAAAATATTATGTCCCCTCCCAAGATTTTGAGTACCTCTGTACTCTCCCAGCACTGGGCTCGTTAGTTGTGACAGCACTAATGAGAGCAAGTATCAAGGGCACAAGGCTGACATCTGTAGTTCAAAGGATGCTAAAAAGCTGGAATTATTTGGCAGAAAGATTTATTGTTGTATCACTAATCAATGGACTTTACTTGGGCAGTGTGATTTGTATTTATGGGGCTCCATGGAAATTTCAGATAATTGCTTCCAGAGCATACTAGACAGGAGATTGCTCCTGGAGTCGATGGGTAGACTAGTTGGGAGAACACCACCGTAGGCAGGACTGGATATAACAGACTTAGCAGGTTGAACCACAGCTTCTGCAGTGGCCATGTGCAGATCATTGTGGTTGCAGTTTTGTGGTCTTTCCTATGGTACATCAAGCTTTATCCAGGACTTGCTGTTCAAGGGTCTTTCTGTGGTCTCAGACCAGATGTACACCAATGTTCATGGACTTACCGACTTTATCCAGTCCTCTGAGACTGATAATCAACACTCACAATACCGTCCTCACCCCCTGTCCAGAGGCTAGAGTTTATGGAAGCACTACCAGTGTCATGTTCCAGGCAATATGTAGGTTTGAATAATTGCATGCTCATAAAAGCACAAAACTGTTTAATGGTTTTGGGTCACCCGTGTGTTTCAATATGCCAGACTACAGTTCAGAACCCGAGGAGATGCTGGCATCTGTCTACTCCCCGAGGTGCCATCAGTTTGGCTATGTGTTAAGAGTACTCTTCCATGGTCTCACTTCCCTGGATTGGTGGACAGATCCAACCTGTGTATGTTCAGGGGTTCAGTTTGTGCCATAATTTGATGATTAGTTTCAACAAAACACATCTAGCTGCTATTTCTGTGATTCATTCTAAAGTGAACTATCGCTCTTATTTTCTCCAGTTACCTATCCATAAGGTTATTTAAGGGCTTAGTCATGAGGGTCGGGGACTGGACTCGATGATCTCTCAAGGTCCCTTCCAGTTTTAGGATTCTATACCTCAAGGGTCAGAATCTGTTCCCCCACAGGATCTACATTTTGTATGTTCAAGATTTGCACTCTGCTGCTTTTGTCAATGAAGATGGCATTTCTAGTGGCCATTACCTCAGCCAGAAAGTAGGGGAGCTGCAGGCTTTAATTTCACAACTTTCATATTAGGCATGTCAGTGTGTACTCAACTGTACGATTAACCAGTAAGCCTGGGGTTATCGGTTAATTTTGTCAATTACATGCATTCCCCTGTCCCTTGCTGCCTGTATATCAGAGGCAGCAGGTAGAGAGCAAGAGCTGGTGCTGGGAGGAGCCAGCTTTGCCAGTTCCCTCCACCACCAGCCCCACTGCCTCTATCAGAGGCAGCAGTGGGGGAGGGGAGCTACTGCGAAGAAACTTCTGTCTGCGACAGGCCTGAGTGCCCCGCAGTCAGAGGCTGCTATGCATCCCACGCAGAAGCCTCTATCCACAGTGGGAAAAGGATGCATCATGGCAGCCAGCAGCCCCTGTCTGCATTAGGTCCAAGCTCTCCATGGACATAGGCTACTCCACATCCTGCAGAGCAGCCTTTGTCTGTTGGGAGCTCAGACCCCCCCCCCCCTCCCCCATGGACGGGGTTGCTGCCACCCCACACTGCTGCCACTGTATCAGAGGCAGTAACTCAGGACGGCAAGCAGCCAGTTTGCAAGGGGAGCTGGGTTTTAAACAGGCAGCAGCAGGGGGTAGTAGGGGTCTCCCCGGGAGTGGGTCTGGAGCACACTGGCTGATGGCCCCGCCTCCGGGGACTATCGAATAGTCGTGTAACTGATATTTTATGCAGTTACGTGACTATTCAATTCTATGATAGCTAACTTTCCTACTCCATATATGAAATTTCTTTAAGAACAAGATTTGACTGCACTGTCATCCCAAGTTCCTCCCTAAGGTGGTTTCCTCTTTCACATCAACCAGGCAATTTATATGCCTATTTTCTGTCTGAAAACAGAGTGGTTTTGCAGACCTTTGCTATCAGAAAAGGCTTGACATTTTACCAAGATAGAAACTGACACTTTTTTGAATATTCCCAGTTCGTAGCAGTGGCTGACTTCTTACTGATAATCAGTCTCCACCCAAAGACTTTTCTCCTGGTTTGTATGCTATGTGAGCATGTTTTGATTTGACCAATGTTGTTCCAGCCAGTAGAATCATTGAATAAGGTCACAATTGACTTTGATCTTGCTGGCACAAATTCCAATTATAGACATTTGTTAGAGTGGCAACCTGGACTTTAGTTCACATGTGCCTCTCACTATACCAGTGGTTCCCAAACTTTTTGGCATCCCACCCCCTTTTTGATTTTTGAGAAACCCTCACGCCCCTCTCCCAAAAAAAAGCTGCAAAACTTGTTGAGCAAAAAAAAAAAAAGAAAAAAGGAACTGACCAGGGCCAAAAATAGCAAAATTTGGGGTGGAATTGATGGAGAGGGGAGGGAGCTGGGTCGCCTCACGCCCCCCCCGTTTGGGAACCCGTGCACTATACTGTGGCTGAGGACTCCAGAGAGGATGCAAGAGTGGGTGGAATTGTTCTATAATTGTCATTGAAATAGATTTTGATCCCACCTCCAGGTCTACAGGTAGTGACTCACCAGAGTGGAATGCATAAGTACAATCATGTGACAAAAAAACAGTTACTAACTTGTTCCGTTGTAGCTGCTCTTTGAGATTTGTTGCTTGCGTCCTTCTCACGACCCACCCTTCCACATCGGAGTTCTGGCAAGAAAGAACTGGGAGGTAAGAGAGTCGAGGGGTAGAGGTGGCTCTGCCCTTTAAACCTGTATGCAGTGGCACACAGCAGCAGGGGAGCTTGAGCCTCCTATGGGTACCACTGTAGGAAAAGGTTTCTGATGGCCATCTGCTGAGCACACAGACACCAGGGTGGAAGGGGAATGTGGTCGAACAAGTTATGAACCAGGTTAGTAACTGATTTGTTTTACTTTACTGATCCAGCAATAACTCCAGTAGTGTCCAACCTTTGTAACACCAAACTTAGCAGAATTCTGAGAGCTACATTTTGTTTTCATATGTATAACATTTGAAGCATACCAATGCCTTCCTTGAAGAGTTCAGGTGATTGAGCATCAGTGGGAATCTGGCCCTGCTTACCCAAAGGGTAACTTACTGATTATGTTTCGGTGATGGCCGTGTGCATCATGCCAATGAAATGTAGACTTGAGTTTACAAGGTGACTGAAATGTTTTGGTTTCTTACTAAATAAGTGTATATTTTAGAAAGAGGAAGGCTACGTAAAAAAGTCCCTTTCAGTTTAAGTACACATGGCTAGATATTTATCCTGGGATCCATGCCTGGAAATTCAGACTTGCCTTTGCGTCAGAATCATAGAAACAAAATCCTGTATTTCATGGTATCTGCCCTTTTTAAAAGGCATCCATGGGAAACAAACTAATTCTGCAGTATTCTGGTGTTTGACTAGTGCTGATAGTGAAGCACTATGGTTTTAGGAGTATACTGTCTGACTTGTGCCAAAGGGCAGTTTGAGGGGGAACAGAAACAATGAATCTGAAAGAAAGTTCTGTGGGACACGAAGAATGAGACATGCAAAGTAAGAAGAATGGGAGAATAGATTCCAAGAACATACAGCTTAAGGAAGTAAAGCAAAGGCTAAAGGAAACCAAAATGAACCCTATTGTTAAAACAACTGAAGATTTAAGAATTCTGGGACTTTGTATGGGTTACACTAGAATTCTAAATGAAGTAGCACAAGACCAAGTGGTGTCTAGCACAACTGTATTTATCTTCAGACCTTGAGCCCTCTATTCACATATAGGCAGAGAAGTATATGCTTTCTCCAATTAACCCAGCAAGTGCTTCAGATCTGACCTATGTAACCCTTCGGTCTCAATAGACTATGTAGCCTTGGGTCTTTCTGCTGGAACTGACAATTAGGTAGCAAGTTATGACGATTTTTTGACAGACGTGTTCAGAAACTAAACTGATTCCATCTGATTTTCTCCAATGCACTGAATAGCTATGAGATGTAGATGGATTTTGGTGACTGCCAAAATGAAGGTAGCAGATGGGGAAATTAGCGTAAGAGCTCTGGAGATTTTGACTAGGCAGCAACAAATAAACATGTTGACCTTCAAGATGTTAATTTAGATAAAAGTATGGATGTTTTATATGAACCTATGAAGGGGTTACCCCCTCTCTCTTTCAGGGGTAGGGAACCTTTGGTCCAGGGTCCAAAATCAGGACCCTGGCTTCCCTGGATCCAGCCCCTAGGGCTCGGGGCTCCTCCCTCACAGCATTGGGAAACCCATACTGGAACACTAGCCTCCACCCAACTGATTTTTCTGTGGGTCAGCATCCCTTGACCTAAGAAGGGTTCCCCACTTCTGCTCTATTTTGTCATTTTGTTTGTTCCCTCCACTGGCACTAATATCTTACCCCATACTGCTAAGATGGAAGCTATTTCAGAAAGAACAGTCTTCAAGAAAGGCTTCTCTATGCCCTCCTCAGTAGCATCTGGACTAGGTCTGAGGTCTTGCTGTCTCTCCACTAGGCCCTGTTTGCTAAACATTATCTATGGTACTCTCTCCAATGTTCTCATTGAAAAAGCCATTTTCTCTCTCAAGAAAGATCTCTTTTGCTTTAGTACTTCCCAGATATACATTGCTCAAAATAAAATATGGTTCAGTCTGAGATGCTTTTCAAGCCAAATCCTTACACCATTGTTGAAACTAAGCAACAACGAAGTCCAGGGGAGACTTCTGGGTATTTCTGTGTCCTGTTAAGATAACATTTCTAAGTGCCTGTCACTGTGGCATCTGAGCTGGTTTACGTTAAGATATTGATGATTTTAATGAAAGAAAGACGAGGTATCATTTGGGACAGGGCTGGGCAAAATATGACCTGGGGGCTGGGTCCAGCGCACCAACCCACCGGATCTGGCCTGTGGACCACCCTTCTTGCACCCTCAAGCACACGCAGCTGCTGTGGTTTAAAACCCAGTCCCTGCACCTCTCTGCTCTGCAGGAAGCGGGAGGCTTCATGCTATCTCCCCGCCTCCGGCCCAATCCTTAGCTCCTATTGGCCAGAAACAACTGATCAATAAGAACTGACCTCAGCCAATCTCTCAGCTCCTATTGGCTGGAAACAGCCAGCCAATCGGAACTGGGAGATTGGGCTGAGGGTCTGGAGCAACACAAACCCCTTCTTCCACCCTGAGTTGAGGGCCACATGGAGGGAGCAGCCTGTATTGTCAAGCAGGCTGGGGCTGCAGCAGGCAGGGAGCTCAGCCTGCCTTGTGGGGTGCTGCAGCCTGCTGGCCAGGATACTCTTAGGTAAACTCCTCCCAGCCAGCACCTGCCTCTGATACTCCAACTCCCTCCCGCAGGTCACCATCCAAACTCTCTGCACCCCCTGCCCCAGGTAACAACTCCCTCCCAGACTCTGTATCCCCTCCTGGAGGCCAGAATTTCCTCCTGCACCCATACAGCCCTCCTTCACCCTGAACCCCAATCCCCTGACCCAGGTCACAACCTGCCTCCTCCAGCCAAACACCCTCAGACTCCATGCTCCAGACTGCACCCCGGTCCCTTACCCCATGCGCCCTTCTGTTCCCAGCCTCCAACCTAGACCCTGTGCACCCTCCACAGAAAAGTGCTGCCCTTGACCACTTACCAAAATCTTGCTCCTCCAGCCAAACACCCTCAGACTCCATGCTCCAGACTGCACCCCGGTCCCTTACCCCATGCGCCCTTCTGTTCCCAGCCTCCAACCTAGACCCTGTGCACCCTCCACAGAAAAGTGCTGCCCTTGACCACTTACCAAAATCTTGGAGTGGCCCCCCACCAAAAATTATTGCCCACTCCTGATTTGGGAGGTAAGACTGAGTTTCACTTTCAAGAAAAAGAAAAACTTAAAAAACAACAAATAGTCTAGTAGTACTTTAAAGAGAACAAAACATGTAGATGATATCATGAGCTTTCATGGGCACAGCCCACCTCTTCAGATGACCGGAGTGTTGGAAGTCCAGATCCAAGAATAAATAAGGGAAGGTGGAGGGGAAGGGGGGGAGAAGGGGGAAAAAATTGAAGGGGAGGAAGAACAAAAGAGTGAGTAGATAAGCTTCAGAGGGATAGCTGAATGAGTCTGTAACAGGAAAAACTTATAACCTCAGTCATGCAGAAGGCAATGCTATACACAGTCTCAAAAACAATTCTAACGTCATAATCAAAGAGGCTGACTAAGGGGGGGCTCTGTAGTCGTCATGAACAGAACAGATTATGAACAGGAGGCGACCGGATAACTCACCAATACCAGATTCAACAAGCCTCTCTCCTGTGATCCCACTAAAGAATAACAAAAACACCTGAAACAACTGCTCATGAAGCTCCCTGATGCTGCTCAGGACCAGATTTACACTAATACCCTTCCTTATCCCCGACCAGGAGTTTTCTATCTGCTACCCAAGATACACAAACCTGGAAATCCCAGATGACCCATCATCTCAAGCACTGGCACACTTACAACAGAATTATCTGGCTATATTGACTTTCTCCTCAGACCCTATGCTGCTAGCACCCCTAGCTATCTTCGTGACCCCACCGACTTCCTGAGGAAACTACAAAAAGTAATCTTCCTGAAAATACCATCCTGGCCACCATGGACGTAGAAGCCCTGTACACCAACATTCCACATGAAGACGGATTACAGGCTATCAGGAACACCATCCCTAATGACAGCACTGTACACCTAGTTACAGAGCTCGGGGACTTTGTCTTCGCCCACATCTACTTCCAATTTGGAGACAATTTATATCTTCAAGTCAGCGGCACCGCCATGGGCACCCCCATGGCACCACAATATGTCAACATCTTTATGGCCAACCTTGAACAATGTTTCCTCAGCTCTTGCCCCCTAACACCTTTACTCTGCTTACGCTATATCAATGATATCTTCATCATATGAACCCACAGGAAAGAGACTCTTGAAGAATTTCACAAGGATTTCAACAACTTCCACCCCACTATCAATCTCAGCCTTGATCAGTCCACACGAGAACTCCACTTCCTTGACGCTACAGTACAATTAAATAGTGGACAAATTTCCACCACCATATACCAGAAACCTACCAACTGCTACACTTACCTTCGTGCCTCCAGCTTCCATCCCAGACACATTTCTCAATCTGTTGTGTATAGCCAAGCCCTAAGACACAACTGGATTTGCTCCAATCTCACAGACAGACACAAAAACCTATAGGAGCTACAAAGAGAGCATTCTTAAAACTGAAATACCCACCTGGAGAAGTGCAAAAACAGATTGCCAGAGCCAAAAAAGTACCCAGACATGAACTCCTTCAAGACAGGCCCAAAACAACAGAATTCAACTTGTTGTCACCTAGGGTGTGTCTAGACTACAGTTTTTTTTCTTCAAAAAAAGTGGCTTTAAAAAAAAAAAAGTCCCCTGCATCTAGACTGCTGCCGCATTCTTTTGAAAGTAAATTGAAAGAACGTGGCAGTTTTTTCGACCATGGAAAACCTCATTTTACAAGGAAGAATGCCTTTTTTCGAAAGTGCTCTTTTGAAAAAAGGCGCTATGTAATGCAAATTGCTTTTTCAAAAGAGAGCATCAAGGCTGCCTGGGTGCTCTCTTTTGAAAAAGCGGCTTGCTTTTTCGAAAGTACAGGTTGTAGTCTAGACATTCTTTTTCGAAAGATGCTCTTTTGAAAGTGTATTTCGAAAAAGCCTCTTTCGAAAGAGGCTTGCAGTCTAGACATAGCCCCATAGTCCACAACTTAAACCCCTCCAACACGTTATCAAAAATGTACAACTTGTGTTGGAAAATGACCCATCACTCTCAGGGACCTTGGGGGAAGGCCAATTCTGGCTTAGACAGCCCCCTAATCTGAAACCAATACTTTCAAGTAATCACGCAACACAGCTGCAT